TGAGGAACGAGAGAAAATGAGAAAGAGAAAGAGAAAGAGAAAGAGAAAGAGAATAAAGAAAGGGAGGAAGTGGAGGGGTTGAGGAAGTTGGTTGGAAATTATCATGTCATTTTATTATTGTCTCGTCTCTCTGACCTGCCCACGCTTCATGCATGCCCCATCCCCATCCTGAAGGAGTGAGATTTGCTTATATAATATTGGTCCTGGGTGTCCTGGTGTTGACTTGACAACATAACGTCATCTGACTGACTCGGGTCATTACCGGCTCTCGATTCCTCAAGCGCCTGCGCCTTGTTTGAGCCATCCATCATGGATCATGCGTGGATCGTGGATCATCTCTGTGTGGCTAGGGAGGTGACGGTTAAGTGCTCTTCCGTGTCTTTATTTCTCTTCACCTGTGTATTGTATTTTCCTTTCTCCGATACCAGCGCAATTTTTCGTGTGTTTCCCCCCCCCCACCCACATAACCGCTGGCTTACCTGAGCCCTTGGCTCGATCATCACCGCTCTGTTCCCGCAGCAGCACACAAAGTCATAAGCTCCATAAGAAAGACTCGGCGTCCGAAGGCTCCCCTTGAAAAGATGTAAAGGCGCCTCGCTCCAACAAGCGCTGAGGGTCGAGTTCATTCATGATCACCCGTTACGTGAGAACCCCTTTAATTCGTGTGCGCGCCTGTTTTTTCAACTTGAACAACAACTTGGATCCCCCCTTGCCCCCGCAATATATTGTACTTTTCCAAGGTCTTCAGCAGTAGGTCGACTTCACGGCTGGCATCGTTTATCTCATGCACTACACTGGAATGGGTCCAAATGCGAAATTATTTGGCGGGTATGTATCTACTGACTACCCGTCGAGAGGGAGAATGCTGTGGTGTTCAACGGAAGCTAAACGATAGATTTGTCGTTGCCAACGCCGCGCCGCATCCATTGCTTTTGCTGCTCCCGGCTGGCTCGTCATAAAAACCGTTGCCACAAATCTTATGGTATGTATGGACCACGTTCGCAAAACAATTGAACCGGCCGGCGAGAGACTTGTTCCTCTTTTTTTTTTTTGTCATCTATTATATTCCCTTTGATCGGTTGCCTAATCACCACGAATTTTTTTTAAACTAATATGATAATAAATACTACTACCACCTGTAAAGCCGTCCGAAAGCCGCGTCAATCTTTATCATCTCTCACACTCACTCATACATGCGCGCCGGCGCATCAATTCCAACTTGGATCACTGCTGTATCCCCACTAGTGCAAAAGTCCCGGGGGGCACACGCTGTAGATCGCGGGACAGAGGCTCCCCGATCGGTTTAAGAAGGAACGGTTAGGTCGTGCGTGTATGTGTGTGAAATGAATGAGAAAGAATGATGTGAAAGAAAGAAGGGAACTCTGTGCTATTGTGGAGAGGGTACCATTGGGTGGTAACCGGAGCCAACAACTCTCCTTAAACTGGATATTAGTATTGGTATTAGGTTCGGGGCTGGGCAAATAGCGTAGGAGGAAAGAAGGGGTAGGAAGAGAGTGTTTGAGGGTTTTCGGCAATTCACTCCGGCGCTCGATGCGTTTAGTTCGTCATTCGTCCGACAAGGCTCACACACCACTCGGCTTTCCGATCTCGGAACGGAAAACGTACACCTAACCGCCACACATTTCTCTCTATTTGATTCTTTTTTGAGTCCGCGGACCAGGGAACAAGAACCCCATCGAAAAGCCGTAATTATACATTTCGAGGCAGATGAAGCTCACACACACACATTTATTCTCATACATATACATACGTGGTTCTATGACTTATCACACACCCACACAATCACCCATCACTCATCGCCCATACACTCACACCCTTCCCTTCCATCAATATCACCACAAAGAAACCGTAAAAGTTCTCACTCTCGCTTGCTTTCGGATCCTCCCCCAAATGACGTTTTATTACCTTACCGGTTTCACCCTACATACAAGAAAAAAATAAATAAAAACACGACACGGCTTTTTTGAGTCATCTCTAAATGACACGCGACGCACCAACCAAACTCCAGGGGGGGAAGGGGGGGGGGGCTAATCGAAGCTGACTTGTTGTCGCTTACTGCTGCTACTCCCGTCATTCAACACTCCCATCAAAGGTGCACGCCATCTTTATCATGATCGCGTCGCGTGAAGTGGCCAAGGGATCTCGCCTACGGGTGGTATAGGTAAGTGCACCTTTCCCACTTCGACACACGGGCTCGCCTCCCATTCTATCACTTTCATTCTCTCTCTATACACACCCTCTTCTTCCCCTACCAAGGGGTTTCACACATGGTGGTTCTCCACTCTTCTCTCCAGTTCACAAACAGTAGTTACTATGTCCTGAAGCGCGAATAAATCGATTTCAAAAAAAAAAAGGGATCGAGCCTAACCTAAATAATAATAATAATAATATTTATTAATATTAGAGTATAAGATTCAAGCGGGGCGGCAAAAAACCGTGGCCCGTGTTCTCGAGTCACGCTCATTCGAGATGAGTTGGTATGGGACGACGGACGCTCGGGAAGTATGGCTTTGTGCCACAGCGGCCCTAGGCACGGAGGGCTCACTTAAATAAAATGCCAAAACATGGGGGGTCAAATCCACCCCTCCCTCTCGTCATTTTTCACATGTACCTATATCTATGCTCGTCTGTCTACACCCGTATCTGATCAGCTAGCTAGCTACCTTCGCCAACCTCTTTGGTGACAACCCCTCTCCCCCCCCCCCCTCTTCCCCATGACGTGCTCACGACGGACTCAGCGGGCAATTGTGGTTGCTCATCAATATCCCACCAAAGTAAGGGCCCGCATGATCCGATACGGACGTGCTAAAGAACGAATTCCCATCCTGACAGTTCGTGTTCTCTTGTCCGGGACAAGCGACGGCGTTCGCCTCGCCGCTGCTCGGTATGTGAACTTCCCCACTCGAATGTTGATAGTCCAACAGACGCGGGGGTACGTTGGGCACCGGATCGTGACCGTGCGTCACGTACGTGAATTCCCCAGAGCCAAACGTGGAATCGATCAGGTTGGCATAAGCCTGATTCCCACCTCGAGGGAGACCAAAGACGACCGTCTTGATGGCGGTCGATGGGTCCAGGTTTTGACGGAGCATGAGAGCGTCCATTGTCGCTATCGCCGCGCCGAGACTGTGACCCGTGACGAGGACGGACTTCAGGCCCGTGCTCTGAAGCCCTGATTTCACAGCTGAGAGCACCGCGTCGGCGGAGCGACCATGAGCCTCCGCGAAGCCATCGTGTACCTTGGGGCCACCTGTGTGCATGAATCATTTTTTATTTTAGTTACGTTGAGATTATGAGATGATAGCAATGAAAGCGTACTGCCAGCTTGAGGGAAGAGAGTAGAGTTCATCTCTTTGAGCAGAAATTTAACGTCATTCGCGATGGAGAGACTAAGATGAGGTGAGGGGGTAAGGATCAGATCTTTCTCGTAAGAGTTTGGGGGGACGATGCTCAAGTGCGTGAACTTACAGGTTTTGGGGTCTGTGCCCTGGTGCGCGACGACGATACTTTGAGATTGACTATCGTGACCGACAAAGACTGAATAAAAGAAAGGGGGGGGGAAGTGGATTGTTACGATATAGACCACATTCATTCGTAAAAAAAAACAACTCACAACGCGGAACATCCCCACCATCTTAAAAACGATTCAAAGACATCAACAGCTGCAATATGAGAAGGAAAAAAAAAAACGCACCGCCTCCAACCGCAATGGGAGTGAACCCGTCCGACTTCAACTTAGACGACGACTGTACGTCTGCGCTCTGACAATAAGCGATCTGCGCGAATTGTGCCGGTCGCAGGATTTTGGATCGATCGTTGGCCGACACAGGTGTGGTCGCTTCCGAGTTGGACGAAGAGCGGTCCAGGAGAATAGAGGTAGAGGCATCGCTAAGAGGAGCGGCGAATGTTGATGCGATGAGCCAGGAAAGGGAAAGGGGAAGAAGGAGCGGCGAGGTGAAGACAGTCGTGACGAGCATTTCTGCTTTTTATTTTTATTTTTTTCTGATTGATCCAACAAAGGGAGGGAGGGGTATCTCGTGTCCGGCACGAAAGAAAGCAAACAAACAGGCTCAGCCCACTATAGGGGGAACCAAAAAAAAAAAAAACGAAGCGGTAGGATTGGGGGAAGGAACGTCGAACGAAAATGAGAGGAAATCCATGGCGGCTGCGCGTGTCAATTTTATAGGCTCTCTCTGGTCGAGAGAAGATCAAAATATAAGTCCGGTCGCGTTAGATTCCCATCCAGGGCTGTTAGATATTGATTGGGATTCGAGTCTGAGTCAATTCAATACAGATGATTCGCGACCTCGCGACGAGCACAGCATGTGAATGTGCAATGTGCAATATCTCGACCCGGTACAGGCCCCCGGCAAAATCCGACCCGAGGACCACCCTCATGATTGATGACAACGATGACAACGACGAAGCTTCACTTCATTTTTAATTCCATATGACTTTGCTCTCCATTCAAAAATAACGAACGAGTGACGAGAAGGGGGGGGTGTTCCCGGGATGGGACCTGACTTTGTGTGTTTTTTTTTTTGATGATGATGGTGATGGTGACGATAATAGTGATGATCATCATATGATGAGGGGGAGGTGGGGGCCACCCATACAATTAATTAATTTCGCTGCTACCCATCAGCCTAAATAAAATTAAAAAAAGTGAAGTGACGACTAGCGCGAGCGATCGCGACAAACGCTGAACCCTTGAACCGATTTTCCTTAAAATTATTAAAATAAAACGCAAAGACGGCGAGTCGGATGATCGCGTGCTTTTAAAGTATTGGATCAAGTGGTCATCGAATCGAAAGAACAGATTCAAAGTCCAATACAAGCACATTCCACAAATTAGTTGTAAGACGCTTTCAAGCTTTCTGTGTGAACCCAACCCAGGATTGCTGTGCGGGTAGCCTCCTTTCGCCTACATTGAGTGAGTTCATGGCTCGCTATCATACACAGCCATTTGACCGATTATCGGCCGGCTAGCTCAGCTGGTTAGAGCGTCGTGCTAATAACGCGAAGGTCCTGGGTTCGATCCCCATGTTGGCCATAATTTTATTTTATTTTTATTATTTCTCCACCCCCTCCCCCACACGTCCTCACTACCCCACAATCAATATCTCACGAGCCAATCAATGCGCATTTTGTTTTCATAAAAGTACAGTTGTGCATGCAAAGCGGGAAAAGAAAAAAGACTCCAAAACTAAATTAAACCGATTCACCTCTCCCCTCCCTCGAGATGTTCAAACTCCATCCTATGCGCTCGGCGAGACCACGCTAAAGAGGCACGTGCACGCCGTTGTTCATCCTCCCGTTCCTGCGGTCTAAACTCCAAATCTCCACCGTCGTCTTGCCTGCCCGACGACACATGACGGCGCACATCTCCCGTCTAAAGACAACCTTCCAAACAGTTTCGCTCGGCGCGGTGATGTCGCGCACATAAGCGCCTGTACCAACGTCGAAAAGGCGGACGCGACCGTCATTCCCGCTGGTAACGAGGAACTGTTCGTCGAATTGGAGGGAGGTCACGGAAGAATCGTGAGCCGCGATTCGTGTGTGGACCCGTAAGTCCGGTAACGCGAACGCCAACACCCGTCCGTCCGCCCCGCCCGTGACGAGCGCGTGGGGAGTCAGCTGGAGGGAGCACACGAGTGCGGTATGGCCCTGTAGCATCGCGGTACAGTGTCTAATTTTTTTTTTTTTTTTGGTCGGTGTGAACGTCAGCGGTGGAGGCAGGATAAGTGCGTACCCAGTTTGCGCGTCCCACACGCGCACGGTCGTATCCAACCCACCAGAAGCGACGATCTTACCGTCAAACGCGACGGTATATATCTGATTAAAGTGACGCGGAAAACCTGCAAGCATTCGCCCGTATCGATATCCCAGAGCTGTGCAGCCAACAACCGACGCACAATGGAGTCATGATTATGATCAGATTTTTTTAAGCCGAAAGAAAAGGCGCACTCGGCAGGTGCAATCATAACTCCCACTAACGACTCGATTTCCACAAACGTCAAGCGAGCGCACGCTACCCGCATGTCCGGCGAGCACGCGCAACATCCGTCCACGTTGCACATCCCACACGCGCAGCGTACTATCACGCGAGCCGCTCACAGCGACAGGTCGATTGTGCAATACCTTGAGACATCGTATGGTCGAGGTGTGTCCGCGAAGGACGTACAACGTGAGCCTATGTATGGATGGATGTAGTAGCCAAGGAGCATTCCATACCACCATCGTATGCAAACCGGAAAAAAGGCGTAAAAAGAAAAGAAAGAAAGAGGGGGGAAAAGACGTACCCAGTACGAACATCCCACACACGCACGTCCTTATCACACCCACCACTGACCACCAGCGCACCAGGCTGTCCCCACCCACGCGTCGCACCGGCCACGTCGCTGCGCGCACTCCCTGCCCCCGCCTCTCTCGAACCCTTTCCCTGATGACTGTGTGAAGCAGCAGGAAGGATGGTAGGGTATTGTGCGTCGAGGGCGAGCGCGGCACGCATCGACGGCGGTAGAAGATGGTCGAGTCCCTTCGGATAGAGTACCTGTGAGCCCGCCGGGGCGCGATTATGCAAAAGTAGAGCGGGCCCATCTAGAACTTCGGGCACCCCGCTTATCGCTGTTGTCGTTGCTGTCAAGGTTGAGGTTGAGGTTGTCCCGGCGCCGGAGTTGTTAGGTGGAGGTGGAGAATGGGATGGATCAAGAGCCCCACCGCGCGAGACGAGGTCGACGGCCCAGACACCGAGTTCGTGCCCAACGAGGGTGCGCACGAGTGAGCCGGTGTGCGTTGAAAAGACGTGAATCCGATGATTCGCGAGCCCCGCGACGAGCCAATCGGCGTCAAGCGCGACGGAAGTGACGACGCCGCTGTCGGGATCAAGTACGGGGATACGATGCGTACGTAGGCACCGACCACCACGTTTCCAGTTGACCACTATGGATAGCAAAATTTATGGGGAACTACCATTGTGGGACAGAGAGAAAGTGGGGGGGAGGGACTTACGAGTTGACCAGGCGTATTTAAAGAGTCCCTGTGAGCTCTGCGCTGGCTGAAGGGCACGTGGCGGCTGTGGAAGGCGAGGAAGTGTAAGAATTTGTGGGATATGAGGACGCTTGACACCTGTCGCATCGCTTTCGTCCGCATCGGGTTCGCACGGACCATGGAGGGTAGGATCGAAATGGTATGCGCTGGCAAGTCCACGCCAAGCATTTTCATCCTGCACGAGGGCGTGCCATCTGCGTGAAACGCAGGCGATGCGGGAAAGCGTACGTGGGTGATCGACAAAGTTGAGAATATGGAGGGCGAGTTCTATGGGCAAGTCTGCGAGAAAGTCGCGCTTGAGGAGCGGGGCAATACGAGTAGACATGAAAAATAGCTCGCGGGATGTGCAGTGGGCGAGCAAGGTGGCAAGGTAACCTTGACGGGTGGTAGAGCTTAGAGATTGAAATTCGTTGAGAAAGGCTTGGAAGGGAGGTGCTTCGAATTGTGCCGCAGTCTGAAGGGAGGAAACGAAGGACGTAACACTTTTGTGCCGGGGAGACGGGACGTGGAGAGGGAGCTGGGGTAGGTGGGCGCATCACTGGGACATAGACGGTTGGAGCTTCTGTTTGAGAAGGAAAATCGGGTGTCGTCTCCGGCTTGTATGATGATGTGGAGTCGCCAAGAGGTGTGAGGTCAAAGGAAGAGGAAGAGGAAGACATGTTGGGCAACTAGTATTGGCCCAAGTCAGGATGGATATATAAACGGAAACTGCCTTGAATATGATATATATATTGAATCCTCTGACGCCGGTGTGATCTAAGAAGGGTTGGGGGCGAGAGGAGGGAGATAAGTGCGTGTATGTAAATATTGATGCTGTGAGGGATATAGATAACAGGGAATGGGTGATCTTGTTGTAGCCTGGGTCGGAGTAAGAGAAGGGTTTAGATTTTGAATTTAAAAATACTGTACCTTGTTACAACCAAGAGAGGAGGGATGAGGAAGAGATGGTGATGGTGATGGTGGTGGTCAAAGTCATGGTCATGGTCAGTCAAGGTCCAGGTCAAGGTCAAGTGGAAACCCGAATAATCCAAACCCAAACCCAACCTAGGGTAGAGGTGTCTAAACCTTTATTTAAGGTCAAGGTCTATAGATTCCCTTCCCCTTCCGTCTCCTCCTCTCCTCTTTCTTTCCTCCTTCCAGTCCATTTAGACCAGAAAGAGGACAATAGAGAGAAAGAGCTTACCTCATGACGTCCTCCTCTATATCCACCAAAAGGCATTACACTCCATCGCCTTCTCGCAATTCTTCTCCATCGAGGACGCCAAAGGCACAACGAGTAAACATACCCGTAAGATCTCCTTTGTTATGCACCTTACCACCGACATGCAATCCACCCAATCGTCCAACCCCGCTATCTGACACCCGCGCCCTCGAATCACATTACGCCACCCACCACGCACACCTCTGTTCCTCACAGGACTGTGGTTGCGTATTCCCAGATGCTCATCTTCTCGAACTCGTAAGTTCCTTTCAATCTCCTTTCTCTTTCTCTCACCTGTCCCCGCCTTCTCTCATCCTTTACAGCACATCACAGAGTGTCACAACCCGATAGCTGCACTCCATAAAGAACGTGGTGAGAAAATAGTACGTTATCGTCTATAAATTCAATTCCCCGTCCGACTTCCTTCTATTGGGGAATGCTGAATGACCCACAAACAGTTCGCGTGTTACATTTCCACCTGCCAGCGCATCTTTGCGAATCCAAAGGCCAGACGGCTACACCTCATTTCCGTGCACGCATACCCAAAAGAATACTTTTTTGCCGTCACCAACAAGGGTATCGGAGGTCTACTCCGCCGATGGGGTGATGGCGCCAGCCTACTCCGTGGGCAGTGGCGTCCGCGCGATATGGACGCTGACGGTGGGGCTTCTTTGCCACCATTGTCATCTCACCCATCGGACTCGGACTCCAGCAACGACTCGGATGGCGATGACGATAAAGATCAAGAACACAATGACGAGGAAATGAAAGGCGAAGAAGCATTTCCTCGTCCTGCCCTTGTCACTCTCCCCGCCTCTTCCCGCACTACTTCTATCTCTGTCAAGGAAGCAGTGGTAGTAGAAAAGATGGATAATGAGGAGCAGGAGGGAGGAGAGGCTGAACAAGGAGCCTCCGAAGTGGACGCGCTCACGCGTGAGGTCTCCGCTCTCGGTCTCGTCCCTACCTCGATCCGCTTCGGTCGCGGTGGTTCGGCGGCACAGCGCGGCCGAGCAGGTCTCGCGACGCGTAGTGGACGTCCAGTCGCGAGGGATTTGAACTCGCACACGGATCACCGTCGCACCTCCTCCACGGACAACAACAGCAATAACAAGAAGGAAAAAGAGAAATATTTGGGTGAAGGGTCAGACGCCATGGAGCAGGATTTAGCAGTTGAGCAGGATAAGACCGCGTTTCCACCACCTGCACGCGGGCGGCGTGGAAGAGGTAGGGGAGGAGTTGCTGGTGCTGTTGGTGCTGCTGTTGGTGGCGGTGGTGGTGGAGGGACAAGAGGAATTGGTCGAGCGAGGGGGTTCGTTCCCCCGCCGCCTAGAGCCGGATTTCTTTCACGCGGGGCGGCGGGGCGCGGTCTTCCTAGGGGTATGATCGCCAATATTAGGGCGCGGGGAAGAGGCGCGGTTATCTAGGAACACGTATTATTTACTTGTCCTCGGATTGGGTAGGGGGGGAAGTTTGGTCTCTTTTTTGGTTTTATTTGGGAAGAAGGGCAAAGTGGTGCTTTGGGAGGGGGAGGAGTGGAATGTTGCTGTCTTTGTGGTAGTTTGTAGTAGTCTGTAGAGTTTGTAACAGAAGTGGAGACATGCCTCTGTATCGGTTTTGTATGGTTAGGAGGTGAAGCTTGCAGGAGGCCGGCCTAGGAGGGGTGAAATCGACGAATCCAGTTTCATTCGCGCTTCAGGGTGTGTCCTAAGTCACGCGGCTACTACGGTACAGAGTAGCTATTAAGTGCACAGTGGTAACTACTTGTGAGAAAAGTAACGAAAGGGAAAATTTCACTTGGAGGA